GCCATAATGTTCTCCTTCCTTGGATCTTTTAGGTAGATCCATCAATTCTTGATACTGATTTCTTGTGATCTTTATATCTGAAGACTGATCTTGATTTTCAATGATACTTGTATTTACATCTTGAGATTCTTGATTTACCATATTAGCAACATGTGATCCTTTAGCTGAGCGATATCCTGGTGGAAAACCATGCTTAATATAGTAGGTATCCACTGTATGATTTGTGTGTTTGCAACGGACAAAGAATTTGTTTCCACGTCCACGTCCTCCATTGAATCTTTCACCATTGAATCGTTCACCACGATAACGGAATAAATGTTTTTGTTGTTTAGCCATATTGATGACAACTTGATTTTCAACTAGTTCGTTTGAATTAACTCCAAGATTCAGTCTCCTTTATTGCTGCACTATCAAAGAAAAGGTTTTGTTAATATTTGGGAGTGGTTCCAGTAGCATTACATGTGTTTTAACATGATCAAATTGCTTGTTTAGTCCCTTGAGGAATCTGATGACATAATCATGTTCTCTAATCTCCTTCCCTTAATTAAATGCCCTATAGACATATGCTGGAATTGGTTGTAAGCTCTCAAGCTCATCCCCTATAGTTTTGAGATGTGTGAAGTATTCTGATACTGTTTGATCTCCTTGTTGAACTTGGCAACATCATCTTGCAAGTCAGAGATTCTGAATATATCATTCTGAGAAAATCTTTCTTTGAGATTATTCCAAACATCAATAGCCTTATCCATCCATAATACAAATTGGGCTATTTGAATCATCAATTGACTTATGAATCAAGAAAGAACCATTGTGTTGCATCTGTCCCATGCTAAAAACAATGGATCTTCCTCATCAGGTATCGTCAAGCTGCCATTAACAATCGCCAGCTTATTTTTAAACTTTAATGCCATTTTCATTCCTCGAACCCAGATGTGATAGTTTCTCCCATTAAGAGGAGAAGATACTAATACCAGTGATGGGTTTTCATTTGGATGTAGGTAGTATTGATTGGAAGGATTGATTATGAATTCTGGAAGAATTGGATTTGGGTTGGCCGTGTTTACAGTGATAAGATAAAGAAGAGAAAGAAAAAAGAAGAGAAATAAATTTGCAGAATACCAGAGCTCTAATTGAGCTCTGATACCATCATAGATTCTTGAGAATTGAATACTATCATTGAATTATTGAGAATAGTACATTACAGAACCTTATATAACAAAGGAAATCTGATATGAAAAATAATAGAAAAATAACTTCTAACTATAGCAGAAAACTAACTTTACTACTTATGATGCACGGACACTGACACAGGACACGGCACGACACGACACGACATGTTAATTTTAAAAAATGACATATTTCGACATGTTGGGACACGTTTTGATATTAAATAATTTTTTTAATATATATAATATAATTTATATTTAATAGATATAACAGTCCATAATAAGTTATATAACCAATCAAATATTCAAATTTCATAACATAGATATAAACAAAAATAATTTTTTGTATCTTGTTAATTTTCATGTCAAATTTCATAACAGAAAAAATTGATTTATAAATGATTTTTTTTATTTTTAGTTAATAAAATAAAATTAAGACTAAAAAAAAAAAACGTGTCCGAGCGTTGACCACGTGTCGGAAAAAGTTGACCGCGTGTCGGATAATTGACCACGTGTCCCAAAATATTAACCGCGTATCGGAGCATGTCGGAGCGTGTCCATATCAGACACGTGTCCGACACGCACAATTCAACAAAAAAACGAGTCCGTGTTTCACAGTTTACTACTAACTAACATAATGCCACCGCTTCATATTGGCTAATACTATTGGACCTTAAAATTATTCCTTTTCAGTCTTAAATTTTGAGAAGGAATGGTTGGGGGGTTTACAAGGATTTGTTAAGCTAGTTGATGCCTCGTTGGCAAACAATGTTCATTGTGATGTTATATGCAAATGAAACAATCACTCTGTCAAACTTTCTGCTCTACATTCCCTCCTTTTGTGTATAAAGCAAAAGCACTGTGACAAATTATCTTCTTATTCTTCAACTCTTCCTATTGAATAATTGATTATTGAAGAAACACAATTGATGGCTGAATATGACAATTACCGACAAGAATCATTAGTCAAAAGTTTTATTATATTATTTAACAAACATAGAATCTCAAAGGTGGTTAGTTATAATTAGTCTTTAAATAATTGAAAAAGGATATGCGATTAATTGTGGGTTCAATTGGGAGGAAAAGCTGTGCTATCTATTAAATTGAATGGGTATCGAACGAGCAATTTCGAAAATTGAGTGTTACCTTTTGTTTTACATCATATTATGGGCCATGGCAAACGAAGTCCTTGCATACATATCGGTTTAGGTCATTGAATTTGTAGGGCATACATGATTTTTTTCTTCGAAGTTAGAAGATACAAAGCAAACACAATTATGAAGATGGCCCCTACAAAAGTTTTTAAATTTGCTTCTATACTAAATAAATGGAAAGTCTTCATAATTATGATTAACTAAACAGGCAAATATTTTTTTTTTTAAAACGAAATCTTATTACAAAGATTCATTTTTTATTGAAACTTTGGGTGTCGGGATCCACATATGCCAAAGTAGAGGTTCATTTGTATCTTTAAACTCATAGCAAGTCGTTTGGTTTCATTTTTTGTGACTTCGGTGGCTACCATACGAAAGAGGTATTCAAAAATAACCAAGAAGATGCCATGTGCAAGAGATAATAGCCCAAGTTGTGAGTTAGCATGGATAGGAAAAAAGTTAGAAAACTCATAAACTAGTATTAATTCCAGTTTGCAAAAAAAAAAAATCAATTGTGTTTGTGAGTTAATTATGCATATAGAAAGATAGAAACGTAATTCCATAGTACTTTCTACACAGGTTCTTTTTGAAATATAAAACCATTAATATAGGTTTATCCAACCATTTAACCTTTTAAGTTGAATTGGTGAAGGTATCAAATCTAGTGTCACATGTTTGATTCTCACTACTCCCCATTTAATTAATTCATAATTAATTAAATATTGTGACGAGTCTGAGCATTATTCACCCTTCAAGTCCAATGGACTCTCATGTGAAGGAGTGTGTTAAAAAAATATAAAATCATTAATGTAGTCTATCCAACAACTTAAGTTTTTGAGTTGAATTGGTTCTTACTTTCTTCTTCAATTACCATGAAATTAGTTGTGCAAATTAATTGATTTAGCCCACAAATTAAAGAATAACAATAACAAGGCTATATCTTAATATTTAAAAAGAGATTAGAAAATAAATAAAAATAAAAATGAACTAACATATTTACAAATTAGTAAAATTAAAATAAAATCAAAGGCAAAAATTATGAAAGTTTTTAGTTTGACTTAATTTGTGCTCTTGTTTATTCCAAAAATAATTAAAGCCATATATTTTTTAGAAGATAAGTATGAGTTGGTTAATTTAATTAGTTAAAATAAATAAAGAGAATCAGTTAAATAAATAAAACCAAAGTAACCTAATAATTTAAAGATAAATATATATATATATATATATATATTATATTTTTGGTATTTATTTTTATCCATTTTGGAGTTTTGGAGTTTTTTTTTTAAAAAAACAAGCACATAACATAGTTAACAAAATCCTAATTTATTAATATGTAAAGTAAAATAAAAAATAAAAAAATGAACTACAAAAGTATGAAATAGTAAACAATTAAAATAAAAAATTTAACTACAAAGGCAATGAAGTTTAGTGCATCAACCTCACGAGCAATTAAGTCAAATTTTGTAAAACAATCAAGAGTTGTCTCGTGAGAAAAAATTTAACTAAACATACAAACTCTTTACTAGTTATTAAGTCTGAGTATATGATTTTTTGGATTGTTGGAGTAAATGAGAATCAACTCTTTATATAGAAGTATAGGAGACTGAAAAACTGTGAGTTTTATAATAAGTGACTACGGGCTCGTTTGGTGGACAAGATAGGATAAAAGTAGGATATAATATGGTGTTGATAAGGGTAGGATATGATATGGGGCTCATAAGCCGATATCATGTCCTCTGTTTGATAAGCACCTGATTAGCAATCTGATAAGATTATGTAGAAGGAGAAAGGAGAAAAAAAAAACAAAATATAATGCAATAAATACAAATATATTGAGTAGCGTAGAGATATATTGGGTAACGTGGTGATATATTGGGTATCCAATATTGGTATCCTATCCTGTTGAATCCTAACCCAACTCTCCCTATATGATAAGAAATCATGTATTGGATAAGATAAAATGAGACAATAAAATAAGCTAATCATATCCTATTCACCCACCAAACAAGAGATAAGCTCCAAACAGGCCATAAAAAAGTATATTGAATCAGGAATTTATTTGACCATGACAAAGAACTACTTTAGGCCTTCATAATTATTTTAAAAATTGGGCCAGAAATTTACTTTTACTTATTTAATTTTTACAGGTCAAAATTAAGTACTTAGTCTTTCTTAAATTATCTAACAGTAGATGGAAAATCAAGCATAGAAATCAAATTTTTTTTTAAAAAAAAAAAATTTGAAAGGAAAGTTTGGAATATTTTCATAAGAAAATGGACTAAAGAAGGAAATATACAACAGAAACTAGATCTTTTCCAAAATCATAGAAATTTATGATAAACATCTTGGCCATTTATGATGAACTAGAAAACTGTTACTGTCTTTGGGCAAATCCTTGCTCAAGTCCATTAAGTATAGGCCTTTGCCATAGTTGTAGGCCCAACAAGAAGTTGAGCATAGGCCCAAGTTCAAATATCTACTCGTGCTATAAAAAATCAGAGACACCTCACCCCACCAAACATTGTCGTGTAGTGAGGCCACCACAAAATTATTGTTGACTTAACCTTTTTCACCGTCTCAGTCCAATACGTAACCGAAGCCCACAACACACAACACACAACACACACACACACACACACACACTCTTTCTATATATATAACACCAAACTGAAGCAATTACCATCTACCTCCTTCAAACTCAAACCTCGAACCCTAAGTCCTCCTTCGGGTTCATCTTCGATTCAATTCTTCTACGAAGAAACCGTAGCTACGAGGGACCAAGAGTAGATCGATCTATCTCCTTCTCTCCTTTCCGATTGAAGATGGTTTCCGACGCAAGCAAGAAGAAGGCTGCACAGAAGAAGGCCGCCGCCGCCGCTAAGAGAGGAGGCAAGGCTTCAGCTTCTTCCAAAGCCGTCGATAAGAGCGTCGATAAGGTCGCCGATGGAATCTCCGATATTCAGATTTCGGATCGGACCTGCACCGGCGTCCTCTGCTCCCATCCTCTTTCCAGAGATATTCGGGTCAGTAACAGTACTAACTCATCCATTAATTTTTTGATCTTATTCCTGATTTGTATTTCTCTTTTCGTGTTCAGCAAAAGGAAACAATTAACCTGAAAATAGGAGTATAAGAGGGTAGATTAACCTGATATCAGTTTTTCCATGGAATGAATCTATGTCATGCATACCTAAAGAGTGTGGACTTCTTATTTTTATCTCTACCGTTTTTTCGGTCTCGTTTTTCGTGTTAGAGATTGAAAACTGGGACATAAAACATTCAGTAGCATTTCTCTCAGCAACTAGGAAACAGCCCATCAGCCATTTTTTTGTGCTGCTTGTTCCGTTAATATATTATTAAAAGATGTAAATATGTTTAGTTCGAGCTAGATTTATTTTAAAATGGAGTGTTAAGTACTGAAAATATGTTGCCAAACAGCATAATATTTGGATTTATGATTTTCCCTTTTGCCCTTTTAAGAGAATTTCAGTTTCTGCTTTGGTTTTTCAGTTGAAACTACTGGCTTGCTTGTGTACGTAAATCAGGTGGGTCCCTGATTTGATAAGAAAGTAGGGGATAATCTGTCTAGATCTTTCAGGAATCATTAATCCAGATTTTCTCAAGCTTGATAATGTACAAGTTTTCTAAAATGTGGTAGAAATTCCCCGGTTTTATGAGTCTTACTTCTAGCTTATTGTTGCTAGCATGGGTGCACGTATTTGAGTTCCTAGCCGAGCATCTGGGTCTGTAGCATGGGCATTCTACCATGTTGCCAAGCTCAATAACTTGGTTCTCCTGTGTGAATGTAACCAAATACTCATCTATTACAGATTCTTTGGAGGTGGGTAATATCGTAATATTGTGTTGTAAAAGGACATTTCTGCCATATAAATTATAACTAATAATGCCGAAAATGGTGTTTGTATTGATGCATTTGCTTGTGTTTTTATTACAGATAGAGTCTCTTTCAGTTACCTTCCATGGACATGATCTCATAGTTGATTCAGAATTGGAGCTAAATTATGGAAGGTTTGTTGTCCGTACTCAATTGGCCCAAACAGGATACTTTAAATTACGCCTGGAATTTTACTGATATGTTGCTTTGATTTTTTTTTTTCAGACGTTATGGTTTACTTGGGTTAAATGGCTGTGGAAAATCTACTCTGCTCACGGCAATAGGTTGCCGTGAACTTCCAATTCCTGACCACATGGATATTTATCACCTTAGCAGGGAAATTGAAGCCTCTGACATGTCTGCATTAGAGGCAGTCGTAAGCTGTGATGAGGAAAGATTGAGATTGGAGAAGGAAGTTGAAGCTTTGGCAGCCCAGGTTTGTTTAAGTAATTAAGCATATGATTTTTTACTCCTTTTGTTTTATGTTTTTGGATGTCTTGCTAACTTTTGAGTAATTTTGGTTCCAGGATGATGGAGGTGGTCAATCCCTTGATCTTATATATGAACGACTAGAAGCCCTAGATGCAGCAACTGCAGAAAAGCGTGCTGCTGAAATCTTACATGGTCTTGGTTTCGACAAGCAGATGCAGGCAAAGAAGACACGTGATTTTTCTGGTGGCTGGAGAATGAGAATAGCATTAGCACGAGCTCTGTTTATGAATCCAACCATTCTTCTACTTGATGAACCAACCAATCACCTTGGTATCCTCTATGCCTTGAAAAGAATCCCTCTTATTTGTCTGAATAGTTTTTATCACCTTGTCATGTTTTATGCGCTAAATTGGTTGCGATTGTTATCTTTGTTGGATCACTTGATATTGATTGAAGGTTCTGTTGATGCTTTGTATAGTTGTTTATGTTTCAAATAAAAGCAATGATCATTATTGAATCCTTTTTAACCATTGGGTAGAACTCTGGAAATTTCCCTTGGGGGTGGGGGTTACTTCCAGATTGTATTAGATGCTTCATATGAACATGTTTGATATGTGATTGTTAAAACCAGACCCAATCATTTTGATCTTCTTGTTATATGTACCTTATGCTTTGTCTTGTTATATCATGTTATGGAAAGTATCAACCCTCCCTTGTGTCTGTTACGCGCACTACTTATCATTTTGTTTTATGTTGTGCTCGATTCTTCTAGTGCAACTGAGTCAATGTCTTCCCTGCCCTTGTATATATGCCTTATGCTGTCTTGTAATATCATTTTATGGTAAATATCTCAACCCCCCCCCCCCCCCCCTCGTGTTTGTTATGTGCATTATTTATCATTTTCTTGTTTGTTGTGCGCGTTTCTTCTCCTGCAACTGATGCAATATTTACTCAGGGAATTTGTCGTGTTACTTGTCATACTTTCAATTGAATTCCATTTGTTGTTTTGTATGTTTTAGTTGACATCTGCATTTTGTTCTTTTATTATTATAATAATAATTTTTTTTGAAAATTCCTGTGCACGTCTCCTCACTTTTTTTTTTCCTGGAATAATTTGGACATATATCAATTTTTTTTATATGCTTGCAGATTTGGAGGCTTGTGTGTGGCTGGAGGAGAGTTTGAAGAAGTTTGACCGTATTCTGGTGGTGGTTTCACATTCTCAGGACTTCCTTAATGGTGTCTGCACAAATATTATCCACATGCAAAACAAAATACTGAAGCTGTACACTGGTAACTATGATCAATATGTTCAGACACGTTCTGAGTTGGAGGAGAACCAGATGAAGCAGTACAAGTGGGAGCAGGAGCAGATTGCCTCAATGAAGGAATATATTGCCCGGTTTGGCCATGGTTCAGCAAAGCTAGCTCGCCAAGCACAGAGTAAAGAGAAAACACTGGCAAAAATGGAACGAGGTGGACTTGCGGAGAAGGTGGTCAGAGACAAAGTTTTGGTATTCCGTTTTACTGATGTGGGAAAACTTCCCCCTCCTGTACTCCAGTTTGTTGAGGTGGCATTTGGTTACACTCCTGATAATCTTATCTACAAGAGCCTTGACTTTGGGGTTGATTTAGACTCTAGGATTGCATTAGTTGGACCAAATGGTGCTGGGAAGAGTACATTACTGAAGCTAATGACAGGTGAATTGATGCCTACTGATGGCATGGTCCGACGTCATAATCATCTTCGAATTGCACAATATCACCAGCATCTGGCTGAAAAGCTAGACATGGAAGTGTCTGCTCTCCAGTATATGATGAGAGAATACCCTGGTATTGAAGAAGAGAAGATGAGGGCAGCTGTTGGGAAGTTTGGGCTGTCAGGTAAAGCCCAGGTGATGCCTATGAAGAACTTGTCTGATGGGCAGAGGAGCCGTGTGATATTTGCTTGGTTAGCGTGGAGGCAACCTCAATTGCTACTTTTGGATGAGCCAACTAATCATTTGGATATTGAGACTATTGACTCATTGGCTGAGGCATTGAATGAATGGGACGGTGGTTTGGTGCTTGTTAGCCATGATTTTAGGCTCATAAATCAGGTGGCCCATGAGATATGGGTTTGTGCTGATCAAGCTGTGACCAGATGGGAAGGTGACATTATGGAATTCAAGGCGCATCTCAAGTCGAAGGCGGGTTTATCTGACTGAAACAGATAATGGGAATTGGCTGTTGTCCGATATATCAATCACTATATAAGGATCTAGTACTTACAATAATATATAGGTAGGTGCTACCGTTTGAGCTGGATTTCTCTCAACGGTGATGATTGTTGAGTTCGATGGCAGAATCGGTGCATAGAAGCTTGTTATGATTTTTGTTTGAGCCGAGATGTCTTTCACCCCCGAGATGTCTTTCAACCCCGTTAGACTCTGGTAATATTTTTTTTTTTTAATTATTATTTGTTGTGCTTATCATTTAATTGCTTGGTTGTTGACCAGCATGATGGATAATGGGATATCACCTTGAGGTAGATGTGATCCCTATTTGAATCTACGAACGAAGCTTATTCTTATAAATGTTGTACCCAGAGTATTATATCTATGATATTAGTAATTACTATTAGTTTCCTGATTGCACTCTTCCTATTAGTTCATCGTCAGTAAACCTAACTTTCCTTCTCTATGACCTTATTGATTCCTTGTTTTTTGTGTTGAAGGGTAAAATTACGCGTACACCCCATTTTTTAAGAGAGATTGTAGTCGATGGATCACCCTAAATTGTTAGGCAAATAAGCGAGTGACACAGGCATAGACCTTGAGTGGTTGGCTTGGCAGAGTGGTATTTGTTCAAAATGAGTGCGCAAAAAAGAAAAAATAAGAATCCAGTCGAAAGAAGCAAGTGAAGAATTTGTGTAATCTTTGTAGCAGGACATCAAAGAAATGGAAACTCGTATGAGGTTTTTTGTTTATTGGTACATGAAAGAAATAGCTAGCGCTTCCCATCTTATTCATGTATTGCATTTCTTAATTGAATGCTCCGTAATAACATCACAAAATCTTGAGGCATAGCATGGCATGGATCATTGTTTCTACACCATTTGTAACTTACTAAATTACATTATTCATGAAACAATAACATCCGGATTCTAGGAGTTTTTTTTTTAATATATTCTATCGCCCCCCCAAAAAAAGGATTTTGGATGGAATAACATGTGCAATGTCAGCCTAAGCAACAAAAATAATATTTCAAAAGAATCTCAATTGAAAAGCGATGTAAGAACGACCAATCATAAATAACATTTGATTTTTTATTTTTTTTTTCGTAGTTAACATTTGATTTGTTTACAGCGTGTAGAGAGAAATTAAATAAAACAAAAGTCTCTATCCCGATTGAATTTTACGAAGACAATTTGTAACCCACGAATTGGCAGATGTCGGCAATTTTTTAACATCCCAAAGCCACTAGAATATAGACGGCCACGGAGAGCTATAGTCTATAGATTTGTGCTTATATTGAAAATCAGTCTTGGAAAGATGCAAGTGGTCAACATTTTGAAAGCAAGGGTAATATCATAGGGAAAAAAACAAGAGCCATCCCAGATAACTTCACGGATTTGCATTAAAGCTTGGAGACGTTGCAATTCATCTGCTAAAAAAATTATTACTAATCGTTAATATTATTAAAAAATAATTATTTGAATAAAAATGTATGGTGTTAAAATTATAGCAATAAAGAACAGAAAATATTCAAAAAAATGAATAAAAAAGTAAATGGTATTTGAATTAAAAGCTGAAAATAAAAAATCTTACTATACTAATAAGATGAATGTGTTGTAAAATATTTAAGTGATGAGTATTTGGTTTCTTATGGCTTTTAATTAACCCCTATATTAATGGTGAGTAAAAGTGTAACTGATGACAGTTATTGTATGTTGTAACCATCACACTAATGGTGACTTGAAGTGTAATTATTCCGCATTCATGCTTGTATCCTTATATATATACATATGTATGATACCTGAATGTCTAGCCTCTTTATCTAATCTACTCTTTGTCTCTATATCTCTCTTCCATCTCCTTTCCTTTATTTTATAACAGAATGTTGATTTTAATTCCCAGATTTATAACAATGAAAATATTGTTTTATTGATAAATAGAGATAGATAAAAAAATGGAAGTTTTCATCGTTTCTATGAATATTTGTGAACACTGTAATCTAGCATTCTTCAATCAATTTATAGATCCAGTTCTGAATTTTTTTTAACTATTGAATCATGTGGGAATCAGAATTAATTTCTGTTTATCTACTTTTTTTCCAGGGGGGTAAAAACGTTTATATCAGCTACCAAATTTATTTCGTAAAAGATAATTTAAAAAGAGGGTGCTACATTAGCTATATAATTAAAATGTGATACTGATATCAATTTTAAACTATGATGTTGTCACATCTTGCGTATTTCATTTTACATTATTAATTTTTTCTCAATTTATTCAGAATCATATATATCAACATTTTTAATATATTGATGTAACCAAATAATGTTGGCATAAAATTGAGGGACTTTTAACAGGGGATCTCTTGAACCTTTAAAAAATTATATAAATGATAACTACTATTAAATTGTTTTCTAAATTTATATAAAATCAAATCAACCTATGTTTACACATTCTTACATGTAAACCCGACTCCAAAATAAGTGTAGTACTCATGTTCCGTTAAGGACGAAGGTTAAAAAAAAATAAAAATAAAGAGCAGTGTTACACATTGAAATATGTGGTAGAAATATTTTCATCTGTTACTTATAATTTATTCATATTCTCAGCTACTCATTCAGACATTTTGCAAATGCTGTGAGGTGATGATTCTGTGTAACTATCACATTTCAAAAATAAAACAAATGGGAAGAATTCAAGGCATTTGACCTTAACGAACAATAGCTAAGAATGATATATATTTACACAAATTTTGTATTTATGATTTTCTTACAGACTTTAAAGATGGACTCATCCGACATATATCATTAAAAATAAAAAAGAAGTTATAATAGGACTTGATTTTTATCTGATAACTTGGACAAGAATATCTTAAAGCAAGATTTCTCTTTGTGAGGTTAAGTGTAATTAATTAATTAACATTTTCTAAAGCTTTTTATTAAATCAAAACAATATTTACATAGATTTTATACTCAAACTCTGAGCTAATAACATCTCAAGCTCACTAGGGCTGCAAGGAATGGTTAGTGCACCATCTTGATCAAACCCATACTCTTCAGCTGATTGCTCCAATAGCCTCAAGAATGTTGGGTTTGTTAAAAACCTCAATGGCACCACAAATCTCTTTAGTTCCTCTCCATCTTCAGCAACCACAGCAAAGTGTCCTGCTTTCACATCCTCTGGCACAGTGGTTGTGTCTTCTCCTCCTTCATAATCGTCAAAGTATGAACTTGATATAATCTTTCTTCCTTTTAAGACTCTCTTTTGATGCTTCTCAAAGATAATCTTGATGAGCTTCAAAATGCTTCCTTCAACCTTCTTTTTTATGGTGCTTCTTACTCTGAGCTTGGCCATTACTATGTATGTATATGACTGAGCAATTTAACATACATAACATATATTTATAGTTTGCTAATGGTAGATGAAGTTGAACATGGACCAAACACGAAAGACAAAGATGGTATGTGTAGTTAAAAATACATGAGACTAGTGCATGCATGTGGCCGGTGCAGTGCTTATAAACTTTTAATTTAACATGAAACGTCTCTTGTGAATATGTCATGTCATGTCATGTATGTCTTCTTCATCTCCATATTTATTAAGGCTACCTTTCATAATTCTTACGGTAACTTTTTTCTATATATGTCAATCCTTTATGAGTTTCTTCATTTCCGTTACTCTCTACGACTTTCTTTTATGGTTCTAGCTTCAGTCATGATTTGATCTGATACGATATACCTACTCTCTAAATAAATAGTATGCGAGCGAGGCAGGTATATATGTTACACTTAATTTAGGTAAAGCCGTCTTAGACTTTTTACCAAAAAAAAAAATAAAAAAAGCCGTCTTAGACTTGAATTAATATGAAAATTGAAAAGTGAGGGACGATTAATATCTGCATGGTTGCTTAAATCCGGTTGAATTAAGGTAGTACTTGAAAAAAAAAAGATTTTATAATACTTTTTTTTATAAAAGAGTAAAAAAGAGTAGACTTTTATAATAAAAGAAAGTTTTTATTTTTTAGAGTAAGAGAATATATATCTTATTGTATTTATTTTTTTCATTTGATACATGATATATGTTACCATTAAAACACCTCGTATTTATACTTTTTTTATATATTTTCTAACACTTTCAAATTAATTACTTTCAAATATAATTGTCTATCAAATTAACATAATGTTGTGATTTCTTATTTATTGCTTATTATTAATTTTCTTCTTTTAAAAAAAATTCAATTTCTTATCTTTTAGTGAGTGTATATATTTCAAATGATTATTAATTTAGATGTAGAGAGATAAATTTATCCAACTGCATGAATTTTTTAATATTGTTTAGATGTATTTAATTAGTACATGATATAGACTTTTGTACATTTAATTGTATTGATTAAGGAGATTTGATTTTGATATGTTGTTTACTTTAATTATATTTGTTTATCAAGTACAACACAAAAATTGGTATTAATTTAGAGGTAGTGAGAGAAAAAAAAATTTAAAAAAAATTCAAATTTTTTTTACGACCTAGGTATTCCGTAAAAAATTGAGACAATAGTTTTCAATGAAAATTCATTGATTTTCTGTCAAAAATTTCGACAGACCAGGTTTTCTATTGAAAATCTTTACAACAATTTTTGACAGAATTTCATTTAATTTTTGCCGAAAAATCTCAACGGAATTTTGATGGAATTCTAGTTAAATTTCGTTGCAAATTGAGATGGAACTTTTCGATGAAAATGTATTTCGTTAAAATTTTCGACGAAATTCATTAAATAGTTAGTATTTTCTAGCTGTCATTTTTTGGCGAAATAATTTTATTTTCGACGGAAATTATTCCATTGAAATTTTTGACCGAAATAAATTTCATCGAAATTTTTTAACGAAATCAAAATTTCCGTCTAATATGTAAATTAATTAGTCATACATATAAATTAAATTAGAACAATGCTCTCTTAAGATTAAAGCTGTCGCCAGATCAAGTGTACAACTCTAATTGTTAATATATATTTTAATGGAAAGGTTATAATATGTCCCTTATTTTGTACTTACGTATAATAGTACCTTAGTCATAAGATGTTTAGATTCTAGAACAACAAATACAAACAAAATATGGTTTCCAAAGATGCTGTATGTTCTCTAGACGACAATCTGGTCGAGCGTCAATCTATTTGATTAGTTTGAGTAGTGATTGTGACGATCTCAAACATAGAAAGAAGGCAAATAAAATGTCGCAATGAGGTGTCATCTTTTAGTATGGTTGATTACTATTAATTTGCTATCATCAATGTTTTCTTTTGTGTGAAGCACGTGCCTAGTTTATATAAACGTTACTTTATTTAATATTAACACTAATTAGAAAGAAAAGAAAAAAGAGTAACTGGATCTTTTAAGAAAAAAAAAAAAAAAAGGTTTCTACTTCGCACTACGATTTGTATAGCTAGAGAGAAGTTGCCAAGTCTTGCCGCAATGTCTTTCGCAAAGCGACTTGTGATCGAGGTAACAATCTTTATATATAGACCCTACATAAAGGGAATCTTGCTCAATTATGCTATTGTATATATCATTAATCACGTTATTACATTATTATATATAAAGGTGTAAGTTTGCAGTCAGTATAATTACTTGTGTTTACGCAGCTATTACCGGAATTCATATCCCCTTGCGCAAAATGACTCGTAATTTGGTTAGGTTTCAATGAATGGATTCCATATCAGGGGCAGAATGAGAAAGATGTATACCAACTTGTTTTGACAATGCTATTCTATGTTCTTATCGAAGTTTTAATATTTTTAAGGGATGTTGAAAATAGATGTTGAAAATATCAAATCAAAAGTGCCAAAATGATTTGTTTCGGTTAATTAATCCAAACTATATAAATAAAATCGTATATGCATATTTTTTTTTTTATAAGTATCATAGATTATACACGTATAAGTTATTTTGTTATTTTACTATTGGAGTATATTACATTTAATTTTTCTGTTATTCGACAACAATTAAGTAAAATTATAACAATTTTGTCTAAGTTTGACAACATAAGATTTTTAAGATTAGATTATATATAAGTCAAACTTAAACAAAATTGATATGATTTTAGGTACGTGTTGTTATTTGATCATACTTTTTGAATATTAGTATAGTTTACCACTGGACCAATTAGAACTGCAAAACTCGTGATAAGAGTAAATAAAGACCCCAGTTAAATTTTAGAGATGCAGAATCCAAACACCAAAATTATGCGTGTAATAGATGAAAAATTGAATAATTCAATTTGTTTAATTGCTAAAGTATCAGATCACAACTCTAATTATTGAGTTTAAGCGCATCTAATGAATTTTATTATTTTCAAATAAAGGCGCAACGTATGTACAATATTGTCTGAGTCTGTTTGCTTTCATAGAAAAAGAAAAGAAAAGAATATGTTAGTTTATTTACTAAACATGGGCTTTTTAAATATAAGCGTTATTATTCGGATACATGATTGTGGATCCGTTATTTTGTTTTCTCAATTGGACCCATTATTTGTTGTCATCCTTATTTCTGAGGCCCATCCCCAGTTGTCCTTTTGTGTTGATAGCAATAAACCTAAAAAACTGCCAACATTTTATGAGCTGTGAGGGCTTTTTATAAATAATGTGGGATCACACTTGAAAGTGTGGCATTTTATTCACTTTCGGAAGTTTCTGGATTCTTGATGAACCTTTAGTTATCTTGTTTTATAGACTAAAATTACATGCAAAATCAAGTTAAATAGGTGAAAACTAGGGTTTATTGAGGTAAAAACATGAACTTTGTGAATTATGGATTAAATAATATATATTTGCTTATTTTGAAGGTAATTGATGATAAACGGATACAAGTACGCCACTTGGATAGATAGAGATCAAGAAATGAAGATATGAAGATCTCAATTGAAGAAAATACAGAAAATAATGTTTCTTGAAGAGGAGGCTTAAGCTTTCAATATGGAAAAATACAAATTGACACTGCCTAAGAGCGCTTAAGCCTCCATCTCAGGGCTTAAGCGCACTACAAGAAAGAAATTCTTATTCGAAGAGCGCGCTTAAGCGCCTATCACCGCGTTTAAGCGTGCTACGTAAATCTGCATGGATATCTTAAGGAGGCTTAAGCGCTCAATAGCGCGCTCGAGCGCCCAACTTAGGCCCATTCAAGTATCCACCTAGGGCACGAGTTCTTTGCCCACAAAAACACAATTTGGGGCAGAATTAATCACTTTTTGAAACTTTTTGACATTCTTTGATAATCCTTGGCAATTGAGAGCAGAGGGGAAGCAGAGGGATCACCAGTTCATGTTCGAGGGAGTCAGAGACGGATCAGAATCAAGTCTGCTCTAGAATTATTGAAGAATCCACCATTCTAATATGAAATTCGGGAGAGATTTCTTAATTTTTTTCTTTCTTGATTTCACCATGTCCGGCTAATTTTTATAGTAGTTAGGGTTATATGAAACTTAGTTTATGTATTATGTTTTGAATAATTCTTTAGGTTGGTTTTCCTTTTTATCATGAATGAAATTATCTTTTCTTAATGTTTTTTATGAGCTTGAATCTTATAGATTGATCCTAGGTAAGTGTATGACAATAGGAATGTTGGTGCATGATCCTTATCTGACAATTTCATCGTAATCCTTATGATTCTAGGAATAGACATAGGGTTTTGAGCAATCTTATGATTCTTGAACTTAATGCTTATTTTCTTGGGAAATAACCGGGGAACAGGGATCTTGCAAGATTATAAAGATTTAGGATGTCAATGGATTGAATCCTAATTAAATCAAAAGAATCGATTGAATTGATATTAAGGACGATTAATATAAAGAGTGAACTCAGACATAATAGAGAAGTTGAGGGAAATCGAAACCCTATCTACGTTCTTTTCTGTCAAGTAAATTCAAATCTTTAAATTCTTGTTTTTATTCTTTCTTTTAATTAGTTTTAATATTTTAAATTTCAAATCAAATCTTGTTACAAATCTACAATTGATTGTCCAACTTAAGTCGAAGTAGTGAAATAGTGATTGAATTATAATCCTCATGGGAACGATTCTGTACTCAGTACATTATATTACTTATAAGACCGGTGCACTTGCCAAAGTTGCTAACAATTCTCTCTCTCTCTTCTCTTTCATTCCCTTAACACCATGGTTAGGGTTTGTTTCATTCTCAAACCAAACTCAATTGGTGTACTCAGAGAATTATAATTCTTCATTTGAAACCTGTCTAAAATCTCTTGGACATATTTCTTTTGCGAAATAAAAATTCCTATAACTTATTGAAACACCTCAATACCTCAAAAATAATGCATCATCCTAAAATCAGACATATCAAATTCATCAATCATAGACTTTTTAAATTTGTCAAACATGGCACTATCATTTCCAGTAAAAATAAGATCATCCACATATAAGCAAACAATACGTAACTTTTCTCCATCACTTTTTTTTATAAAAAGAGTATGCTCGTATGGACATTTTATAAAACCTTCCCTCATAAAATAAGCCTCAATACGACTATACTAAGCACATGGAGCTTGTTTTAGCCCGTATAATAAAACAAATCAGCAACTTGTTCTTCACTTCTGCTAAAAATAATATCAATTATACCATCTTTTGTAAGATCCTTTAAGAAATGATACTTCACATCTATATGATTGCTTCTCTCATGTAAAATTGGATTCTTTGACAATTTAATTACAGAATTATTGTCATAATAAATTGAAGATGCTCCTTCTTGCTTGAAGTGAAGTTCTTCAAGAGTCTTCCTCAACCAAATAGCTTACGCACATGAAATTGCAGCAATGAACTCAGTTTGTGCTGTTGACAAAGTAACAATTGACTGCTTCTTTGAGTACCATGAAACAACTCCTAAATCTAACATATGGGTGGCAATTTGGGTTGGCCTGTCCCGACCCGCCAAAAATGGGGCGGGGCGGGTTGGCTCGCCATTAAATATGGGTTGGAAAAATGAACACATCCCGTTTTATGGTAGGTTGGCGGGTCAAGCCATCAACCCGCCAATTAAAAAAAAAGTTAATTAAAATTCAAAAATAAATTATATATTATGAATTTTTTTTAATATTATTTTATTTTATTTCACACTTCTCTTAATTTTTTTCAGTCTCAATTTTAAATGTATACTAATATTTGTCGAACACTCTTTAGAAACTCATTTGTCTCCATATATAGATAATATTTGTCATAAATAAAATTTTTATTCTTTATTTTTTCTAGGATGTACTAAGATTAAAAAATTGGATATCACAAAAATTTAACGACAAATGAAATACTACCTAAGATAAAATTGAACCCATTTTGACCCACTTCTAAACAGGGCGGGTTGAAGTAGGTTGATGGGTTGAAAACCTCAACCCAGCCTGCCCTGTTTTGGCGGGTTGATTCGCCGGGCTCAACCTATATTGCATGCCACCTCTAATCTAATATAAAAACATACTCCGAATTCTTCTATCATGTATACTTTTTCATTCATATTAAAAGTTGATGCATTCTATTTCAAAATAAAGTAATCTTTAGGAATGTCCTTCATTATTCAATATCTCAATGGGTAGAAGCCAGCGCTGGTCCAGCCCTAAATTGATACAAAGAATTGATCCATTTGATTTGAAAGACCGGTCCAGCTCTTACACCAGATTTCAGTCCAAATGGTCCACTTGACAATTCTAATTCATAAAGCATTCGGCCAGCGTTTGGTATAGGAGATATTTTTTTTAATCGGGAACAAAAATTTGTCAGGAACATGGTAGGAAAAATTTGTTGCCCGATAAGTTAAAAAAATGTGTTTGGTAAGGTACAATTTTTCTAGAAAAATTGAATTAAATTTACTGATATTATATTTGATTGATAGTAAAATAACGTCCAGAACGTTAACAAAGTTACAAAACTAGGCATGAATATAATTGAAGTTGTTCTGTCAAACGGTAAGTTATGTATTGTCTTTATCTTTCTCTCTCTCTGAAACATGATTTGCTTCTTGGAGTCGGTCACCTCTGTTCATGGATCTTGTATTACCGTTGCCGGAGAATCTTGACTCTCAACGCCAATCCCGTGCCACACCTATCCGACAGCCGTCCATCTTGTTATTCAACTCTTGTGTAGCTGAGCTGTGGTTACCCACCAACTCCGAATCGAAACGAAGGAGAATATACTCATGTTTAAAATAAACTCCGTCCATCGCTGAGTTGAAAGTCTTCACATCCACCTTATAAATATTTTGTTCCAAGTACTCATGTTTAAAATACTTTTATATTGTTTTTGTTTTTTGTTTTATTAAGAGGAGAATATACTTATGAATAATGTGGATATTTGAGGTATGTGCACAATCTATACCATTACTAAAATATAGTGGAAAATCATTGATTCATGTTGGTATGGAATTTTCGTTGAACTATCATGGTTGCTCAATACGTACGTGGTGATGAACACAAGTTCTCTTGTTTGTCAGTAATAAAAAAAAAAGGCTAATGATTTGAGAAAGCAACCACACGTAAAGTTTGTTCCATGCTAAGGATAGTAATTACTAATACAGGTAATGCTGATTTACGGCCCCTCTACAATGTTCATCTTAGAAATTTACATTCTGGTGTGGATCTTTATTTCTGTAGGATATCATGTCAGAAGCTGTGATATTATGTGATGGTAATGGTCCACACGGTCACCATGTTTTTTATGGCAATGGTCCACACGTACGGTCACCTTCTTCAAACTATCACACCCTCTCCGGTATGCATTCCCATCTTTTCTTTAAATTTTGAGCTTCTCTGTAAAAGCTGCACGAAATTTGCAGGTTTGGACTGAATCTCATTAACTAGGGCTCATAATTATGAGAGGTCAACTTCCGGGCGGTTTGCATGTGGATAAAAATTTGATGAATTCAAAAGTTTTCAACAACTAATTTAACTCTCTCTCCTACCAAATATGGCTAACCTTTTTTCCCTTCCCCACTTTCCAGGGCAATTTTTTTTTTTTTTTTTTTTTGCATCCTATCAAACATCCCCCTAAAGGGTAAAAAAAAAAATTAAATCCCTTTGCATCTGGGCGATTAATTAAAATTAATTGTAATTCATAAATAGGTTTAGAATTATATATATATATATTAACAGCATACCTTTTTTGAAATTTATAATAATAAAATAGAGAAATTAAACCAGATTTATTTCCTGGTAGGTGGCTTGATGGAATAATTCTTCAACATCTTAGTGATTCGCCACATTTATGACGTTGAATATATATATATTATGGGATTAATATTTTTTATGTTGTAAGAGAAAAATGTATCTCCAACACGAAAAAAAAAATTTATGGGGTCCTTATTTTTTCTATCTCACTCTTCTTCTCATATGGGTTCATATGGTCCCACACACTTTTATATGTGTATAAGAGATAAAATTATCTTTTATAACATAAAAAATATTAAATTCGTATATAATATATATTATAAAAATAAGAGAAATCACTTATTCATATATCCTTATAAATAAGTAAATTCTAATAGATCTGTCACATAATTTTCTTTCGGAATTCTCACTAACCAGTTTTTTTTTCCCCATTAGAGTTGGGCAGGATTAAATTACACTAAATTTCTCCCTACCAAATTTTAAATAATTGTTGATCCGCATGCTCCATGGTCTCACTGTCCAGTTCTTATTCCATTAATTAGAATCCACTTGTCGTATTCGTAAATTTAATAATTTTATGTTTTTATTGTATAAATAGAATTAATAAATATCTTACGATACAATTATGTTACATCACTTATTTAATTAGCTGATAATGAACATGGCATTTTTCTGAACGCATATTATATATCCTGAAACTGAGTCCACAGATACCATTTTTCATTGACTTCATAGTCCAGGTACATTCAGTAAAGACAGGTCCGCTGATGTGAAATAAAAACAGTCATAGCCACTAAAACCCTAATCAACTGGTCCTAGTAGTAGGTAAAATTGACGACCGAGAAAAACAATGCCTAGCTGTGATGACACTGATGTGTCAATATTAGTGAACTATATGCACATGGCATTATTTTAATATGTCAATCAATAGTTAGTAATTAAAATGATATAATTTTTTATGTTTTACAAATTAAAATTGTGGTCAATATGATAACGAATGATTAAGATTTTGTTTTATATAATGTGATCATAATATAAACCATGAAGGCATCTTCCACAATAGCTAGAAATACCATGTCCATGGCAAAGCACCAAAATCCTCACGCCATACTCTTTGCCTTTCCACTGCAAGGTCATGTTATCCCTGCGGTGGATTTGGCCATAAACCTCGCATCACGAGGCTTCACCATAACCTTCGTCAATACACACTCCATCCACCACCACACTTCCAAAGCTTCCCTATCCTCCACCACCACCACCAACAACAACAACAACGATGACATCTTCGCCGCCGTCAAGGACTCCGATCTTGACATCCGCTACACGACGGTGTCCGACGGCCTTCCGGTGGAATACGACAGATCCCTCAACCATGACGAGTTTATGGAATCTTTGTTGCATGACATGTCGGTTCATGTGGAAGAGCTTGTGACAAATATTGTGAAGCATTCGGTTCCACCCGTTACTTGTTTGATTGCTGACACCTTCTTTGTTTGGCCATCTGCTATAGCCATGAAGTTTGGCCTTCCGTACGTATCGTTTTGGACAGAACCTGCTTTGGTTTTTACTCTTTACTATCACATGGATCTTCTCAGAAAGAACGGCCATTACGCTTGTCATGGTAATTCAAAACCTCTCTTGCATAATTGCTATTTATAACACATGAATTGCCTTGCATGAGTCATAATCCATCTCCTACACCAGAATTGTTAGGAAAATATAATATAAATTATTATTGGACTTTTATGTAAAATCTTAAGTTGTTTGGTAAGATATTTACTTCACATGGTATTAGAGTTACTGTGACCATGAGGTCTCAACGCTCTAATGAAATTAAAATAACCTAAGGCGGAGTGAACATGTACAATATTTACATCTCAAGTTCAAAGGACTTTTAAGTGGCCGGTGAGATGTGTCAAAAAATATAAGATAAAATTAATGATCGAACTTCATGTAAAAACTTAAATTTTTAGGTGATGACTATATATCAGGATCACCTCAACTGTTATTTGCCTTGCAACCTAAGTACTAATATCATAACCCTAAAATCTTGAGTTACAACAGAATCCACAGCATTTATGCATTAACTAATAATTTACTCATAAATATCATGTGTACAAGAAAATAAGAATTTTCAGTTCCTACTAGAAATATTTTACTTTTCTAATAGTATTCTCTAATAAAAATAAACTATATATGAACGATAAAAATTCCAATTACCTATTTAACCAAAAAAAAAAATCCATTTATCTCTTAGTAATTATATTAATCTTGGTTAGTAGTTATTTATGTATATTATTTTAGGGTTTTATATTTCTCATGTTGTAGAGACAAAAAGTATGCGGGACCCATATGTTAGAAAAAATTATATGTAGGACCCACGTTGGCACAGAAATCAAAGGGTGTGTAGGAAAATTCAAATTCTCATGTTAAATGAGAATTATATAACCCATTATTTTAATATCTAAAGCATGACTGTATAACTCAAATCGAAAGTTGAACAAGTCAGAAATATTTTACACTTGCTCGAAATACAAATATCAATTAAAAATCCTAACCGGACCAAACTAAAAAAATATTCGTGTACCAAAAAAAAAATCGAAGCTTAAATTTTTTTAGTCAAGCTAGCTAAACCGGTCAACATCACACAACTATAATTTACCGAATAAAGAGTCAAAGACAACAAAAACAATAAAGTGAAAATGGTTACTTGTTTCTTTGTGAGCCCCACTCATCAATGATTTAGATGATAAGAAGAAGGGGAATGGATCTGGTACTTATGTACAATGAAAGCATTAACACGTCAAAAAAAATTGATGGGGGTTATAAGTTTAGTTTTATTTTTTTAAAATTATTGAATATTAAATATAATATACACTACATAAATTGAAAATTTTATGTAATATCAAAATGTGTCCTAACGTGTCAAAATTTAATATTTTTTAATATTAACGTGTTGGAGTGTCGTGTCATGTCGTATTCCGTGTCCCGCGTCGGTGTCAGTACAACATAACTTATATACATACATATACACATAAATATAAAAAGTAAGCATTATATTCAATTTTAATTATATTTATAACCAGATTTTATTTATTAATTAAGTCACTCATTGATGTGGGTGAGATTAATAATTAAATTAGATATAAGATTTTTTTTTACACTTATATATATATATATATATATATATATATATATATATATATATTTGTTATCTTTGAAAAAATAATAAATTAAATAATAAAAGTTAGAGATTAAATAATAACTTTTTATATCATTCAGTGGATAATATTTAATAAAAAAATATAGTCTTAAAATAATATTAAAAAAAAAGTATATCGAAATTACAAAGAAGAAAATTAAAATGAAAATGATTACACTACCATTCTCTTTATCAGCTTATTTTCTACAATTTGATTCTCTTCTTGCCGCACAACTTTGTTGAAACCTTCGTATACGCAATGGTTATGTACAAAATTTCGAAGTATCATAAAAAAATTGACATGTTGGATGATTCCAAAAACCATGCAGAATTGATCAGTCTTTTCAATCTTCTTCTTTTTATGTCAAAAGTCACATCAGTGTAGTATTCATTTGATCACTATGACCCTTATTTAATAATTAATTATCAAATTGATCTCGATTATAAATTATTTAAAAAATTTAATCTCACCAAAAAATATAACATCAATCTGTCTCTGTTTGATCGTTGATCATCAAGTCTACCCGAGTAGCTCCCTTCCTATCCGAATATTTTTTGAAAATTTTTGTCTACCCGAGTTGTCAAGGGGATACCCAGATATATTTCAAAATTCTAAAAAAATATTTTAATTATTTACCTGGCAGAGAATGGGCTACCAGTAAATAATCATAGCTTTTCTGATAAGTCCCCTTCAATATATTTCAATATTTCTCAATTTGCGAGATAGGAAGCTGGTAAATGAGATTGAAAATATCACTAGCAGGCTAGAAAATATCTTAAAATACAAAGATATTCTTGGTCTGAAAGAGATTCTCAGTGAGAACTTGTTATGGAGAACTCCATCAACATCTCTAGTGAAAGGGAATATGCATGGAAGGGAAAACAACCAAGAAACCATAATCAAAATATTAAATGACAGTAGTGAAGAGAAAGTATCTGTGATCCCTGTTGTGGGCATGGGTGGGGTTGGAAAGACCACTTTAGCCCAATGGGTGTTCAGTGATGAGAATTTGATGAAGGGGTTTGATTTGAAAGCATGGGTTTGTGTGTCTGAAGAATCTGATATTCTTAATATTACAAAGACTATAACAGAGGAACTTACTCGTAGTCCTTGCAACATGAAGAATTTAAATCTACTTCAACTTGATTTGATGGAAAAGTTGACACGAAAGAAATTCTTTATTGTTTTGAGCGTGGAGTGTGTGCACAGTGACAAGTTAAGAGAGAGGGTTTAGAGTGTGTGTACCTTATTGATTTAACCCCTTAATTATAGATGGGTTACCTGGCAGAAGTGGACTTTTGGGCCTCTTAGACGCATTGGGGTACGTTTGTTGATCCATTGCTGCCGTAGTAGGATTAGCATAATTAAAGAATGTTTCCTTAATTCCCTCTTTGTTGTTAGCCCTATTTGAGCCTTCTAGAATGTAGGCCTTTGTCAGGTCCATAACAGGAATATTGATCATCATGGTTGGAATAGTCTTAAAGCACCTTTTCAATGCGGAATTACGGGAAGTAAAATTTTTGTAACAACACGTAGCGAAAAGGTTGCTTCGACTCTCCAAACTTTTCCACCTTACCATCTGCATGAGTTGTCTGATGAGCATGGTTGGTCAGTGTTTGCAAAGAATGCACGTTTCCCAGAATCTAATGGTGATTCAACTCTTGAAAATATTGGCAGAGAGATTGTTAAGAGGTGTACGAGATTACCTTTAGCTGCAGAAACCCTTAGTGGTCTCTTGCAAAACAAGACATGATATCATCAATTGGAATTCTATATTGAGGAGTGAAGTTTGGGAATTTTCCACAGATGATAGTAAAAAGGCTATGATTATTTACCTGGTAGCTCCCTCTCTATGTGCGTAAATAATTCAAATATTTTTCTAGAATTTTAAAATATACCCGGGTATTTCCTTGACTATCTGGGTAGGGAAAATTTTTCAAAAAATATCCAGATAGGGAGGGGGCTACTCGGGTAGGCTTGATGGTTAACGGTTAAACAGGGGCAAATTAATATTATGTTTTCTGAAGAGGTTAAATTTTTGAAATAATTTATAATCAAGATCAATTTGGTAATTAATTATTAAATAAAGGCTACAATAGTCAAAAAGTCCATTAGGCATTTTGACCACTGTAAACCTTGTTTAATATGCACTTGCGTTTGATATGCGTTTGTTATCTACAAAAGACAGCTAATCGTTAAAGAGTTAACATAATTCTAAAGTTCAACATAATTAAAGTGAATACATTTCTTTATATTAGTATAAATTACATATATACATAAATAGATAGATAAATAGATAAAATTAAGAGTCATAATATGATGTCATCCTGACAACATTTTTCTTTTTTTTCTATCCAGATAACAGGAAAGACCCCATTGATTACATACCTGGAGTGAAAGCAATTGATCCAAAGGACACAACTTCATATCTTCAACAAACGGATACAACCACAGTGTGTCACCAAATAATATCCAAAGCCTTCAACGACGTTAGAGGTGCAGATTTTGTGCTATGCAACACAGTGCAAGAGCTTGAGCCCCAAGTCATAGCTGCACTCCAAGTCCAAAAACCATTCTATGCTATTGGACCCCTTTTCCCGTATGGGTTCAATAAGGGCACTGTGGCCACGAGCTTGTGGTCCGAGTCAGATTGCACCCACTGGCTCGATTCCAAGCCTCATGGCTCGGTCTTGTATGCATCTTTCGGTAGCTATGCCCACATCACTAAAAGGGACCTTGTGGAAATTGCAAATGGGCTTTTGCTTTGTAAAGTGAGTTTTGTTTGGGTGCTTCGGCCCGATGTTGTGAGTTCTGATGATGTTGATCCATTGCCTGTTGGATTTAGGGAGGAAATTTCTGACCGTGGGATTGTGATACCTTGGTGTTGTCAGACTCAGGTGTTGACTCACCCTGCGGTTAAAGGGTTCTTGACTCATTGTGGATGGAACTCTATTTTAGAAGGGATTTGGTATGAGGTTCCGTTTGTGTGTTTTCCTCTGTTGACGGACCAGTTCACTAATCGGAAATTACTTGTGGATGATTGGAAGGTTGGGATTAATTTGAGTGAACGGACGGTGATCACTAAAGAAGAGGTCTTGAAAAATATCAACCGTTTGATGATGGATGGAAAATTAAGGGAACAATTGAAGGCTGCGATAAGGGGGATCAAGATGAAATTGGAAAACGCATTGAGCCCTAATGGATCTTCTGAGAAAAATATGGAATGCTTCATTCAGGATCTTGTTACTAGAAAGTAGTTTATGTTGTTTTTGTTTTTTTATTTGTATGTTTGTTAAAGAAGATTAAATAAGCGACCATATCTGGGCCGCACAAGCCCTATTATATTTATTAACTCAAATAATATATGAATCATAAATGATTCTCAATTGTTTGGCGTAATCTTTTGAATTCTCAACAATTTAAAAATATTAATTTATTATTAGTACTGATAATTTTACTAGTGATTTCTCCTCTCTTTTTTTCAATTGACTCAATTTTTTTTGCCAAATAAGAAATAAAAAAGAAAAGTAAAAAAGAGTCATATTAATATTTTTAAATTTATAGTGATTTCAAAATAAGGGTAGGATTGCCTTGATTCACTTGTATCTAATGTTTCATACGAATAAAAAATTTGATCTTTCTGATCCGTTAGTTAGATAAATATGCTATTAATTATAATAATTGACAGAATATAATTTTCGAGAGAGGTTATACTTACTACCTTTTTTCTTACTACTTATTACTACCAAATTTTAACTGTTAATTTTCGTCAATTTAACGGTTATAACTTATTAGAATTAATTAATTAATTCTCTGCATGTGAAAAGTCCTGTATGGCGGAGCTCAAGCAAAGATAAGGCGTCCCTTACCCTAACTATCTGATCCCAAACTTTTGTGGGTCAGTTCACAGCAGTAACATACAGTTAAAATTTACACATTCTCTTAATATTTATTTGGTACCAAATAATTCGTCAATCAATAATCAACTTGTTTTTTTTAAATAAAGCTAAAGGTAGAAATAACATCAAGTAAAAAAGAATTTTAAGAAAAGAAATTGGCGAAGTAACGGTACTATAAAAAATCTTTAAAAGAAATAGTAAAAAGAAGAGCAATGAGAGAAAGTTTTTATCTTTCAACATTACCTTCCTATCTCTTCTCCTCTCCCTTTCTTTCTCGTCATTCCTTTCCTTTCTTATTGTGTACTTTTCTTTACTTTTGCGTTCTTTTTCTCTTCTGATACATATGTGCATATATATATATATATATATATATATATATATATATATAGGCAAGTGTATTGACCATTTTGACTAGTTTAATCATTGCATCTAATTGGGTTGTAACTATACTAACTAAAATTTCATTTAAATCTAACTAAACTTTAATAAGGTAATCATTGCATATAACAAAAAAAATCTTGACAATCTTATCTTTATCACACGTTGCCTATCTAGAATGATATGGTTTACGATAAAAACACTGTATTATAAATGAGCTTCAATTTTCCAATTTCTTTCCACGGACGTTTATTTCAGTAGATGCATGAAATGTAGTAATCTAATTTAATTTCTTCTCTATCTCTCTCTTTAACTATTATCATTATTATTATTATTTTAAAATATTACACAAGCGGTATTAACCTCTTCGAGCAATATTAATTATAATTTAAAAAATGTCGGGAAGTTGGTTTCTTTTTATACGATGATTGTTAGTGATCATGTTAATTTGTACTGTTGCAATTTTGTTATGTTATATATTTTTATTCATTTTAAATAGATTAAACTAGTTATTTCAGATATATAAATAGACCATCAAATGAATTTAGCATACAACCATGTCTCCTCTAATTAATTTGTATTATTATTATTATTTTAAAATATTACAGCTACAATACAAATACTCAAGTCAACAAATAAACAAATTATTTAATAGTGGCATAGACAACCCCTATATTCACCACAAATAACAACATAATCCATCAAGTCTAGTCATAATAAAGTCTCATCGTGGAAGAATGAATAATCATAATATGCATACCTTATAACAATAATGAATTCTCTATGTTGGCCTCTTGCCTCTATCACTGTCCGTCTCACGAACGTCACCTCCTGAAAATGTGCCCCAAAAAAGGGTGAGATTTCTAACATAAATCTCAGTAAGACAAGGGGTTCTCAAGGGATCCTCCAACCCAAGCTCACTTACAGGTATTTCTAAAACAGTGCAAGCAGTATATAAAGAAACAAACTAATAATATTTATAAATTATAAATGGCTATACCGGGCCATTTATAGCAATAAACAATGCAGTATATAAAATGAGCATGCCATGCAATATATCAAATGAATGTGCAATGCCACATATGTCCATGTCATGTGTGTATGCATTCTACTAGCCAGAGAATAAAAGGTAGAGATTACGACATCTACAATCCACAGTACAAGGAGTCCACCATCTATCTCACACACGGAGTTACCATCTTGCATGTGGCTCGACATGCTTAGGGATTACCGTCTCGTGTTGAATAACTCACATACATATACATATGACAAATGCACTATAACATAATCCAGCTCAACAACATATCCAATATTCATCATATAAACAGATATATTTTCAGAAAAAATACATCATGCATACAAATCATCCCTCCTTGAGGTACGGTGGAACCATCAATTGATAAAACCGAGGACACGAAAGCTTCTCCCAAAGTCCCCAAGCACAAATTGTCTTTACCATTTTTAAAACTACAGTTGCAACTCTTTACCAAAAATTCTCATATTTTAATATGTTAAACTAGACATCGCAAGCTTTCCAACGACATATTTTATGTATCAATCGAATTTGTATAACTCTGGATATTTTTTTCGCAAGGTAACGGATTTTACCACAACAAGTCAGCAACTTAAAACTCAAGCCGCGATCAATCCAGTTGTCCGATGGATCTGGAATTTTGTAGGATTGTATCCCTATGTGATAGATTCACATAGGTCTAAACCTCACTAAATTTGGAGCTCTGTAGCTCGAGATATCACGATTTTACTAAACTAGTGCATTATTGTCATTTTTTTCCAGGTGGGAATCTATTCCCAGTTTCAGGGAATCGATTCCTCCGTGACAGAATGCAGAAAAATTGCATTTTTTTTTTCTATTTTGGAAGTGCTTCAATGGCATCCCAAAGGTTCTAACTTCGATATACCCACGTACAGAAGTTCAATTAATTTTATTACACTTAGATTAATAATCCCCAACACAAATCACTAAAGTTTCTCTTTTTTATTACTCAAAACAAGCCATTATAATGAAGAGTAAATACCTTTTTCGGTCCTCAACAAATTTTATGATGCCTGCTTTAGTCCCTAGAGAATAAAAAGGCTATTCGTGGTCCATAAGAAATTCAAAGTGGACCCATTTTAGTCTTTTTGAGGGACTAATGTGGATTTTTTTGAATTTATGAGGGACCACGATTTCAACTAAATGTGTCCATTTTGAATTTCTTAGGGATCACGAATAACCTTTTTATTTGCTAGGGACTAAAGCGGGCAACGTGAAATTTGCTAAGGACCAAAAAATGTATTTACTCTTTAATGAATTTACAAAGGAAATGGTATGAGTTTACCTTAAGGCTTCTAAAATCAGAAAAAGAGGGATCCTTGGATGACTTTTGACCACACCTAAACTACACAAAAGAAGGTGCACGAAAATCAACTCCCAAAGGTAGGTTCTTTCTCCATAAAGATAACACCTTAATACACCATTGTGTGTGTAAATGACTCAAACACAAACTCACAACTATGGCAGTCCCTCACTCTCAAAAGACAGCAACCTCATGGATCAAAGAGTGTATCTTTCTCTCACTAAGCACAAGTTTTCAATGATTCAAGGTTGTACCATGGAAGAAGGATGAAGAAAGCATGGTTCTTGGTCAAGTTTAATGAAAAAGAAATGGACTTCCATGGAGTTCTTGAGTGGGCAGCTGTAACACCCCGTGTATACTCGGAATATTAACATTACATCGTATTAAGCGGTGCTTAATTAAAAATGCGGAATATTCTTTTTCTTTTCAATTATGACGTCATTATCAATTACCAACTTGATTACTTACTCAATTTCATAAAATATCACCGGTATGTAAATTGCAATAAGACATCTACTGAAATACCTCAATACATAAATAAAGTGTGTATCTGAATCACAGCATTACATCTCGTAATCCGGACAATATCCTGATACATTATTACAACTCCAGAAGACTCAAGACATAACAAGACATAACAATACTATGTGTCATGGACAATCCCCATGCTCACCAAATAAACATAGTCTTAACAAGATAAACATAAATCTTCATAAGCATGATCTGAAGCTATAAGCAATAAACAACATGCAAATCCAGCATCCAACAGGTCAGCATAAAACAACAAATTTAACTCAACTCCGGCCTCCTGCCGCCTGAGGTCTCAACATTACCGGATCCTGAAATAAGCATTCCCCAAACGTGGGGTGAGATCTCTAAACAAGAAATCTCAGTAAGACAAGGGGTCCTCAAGGATCTTCCACCCCAAGCTCACTTACATGTGCAATATAAGTTCTAAAAGCATTTAATCAATATAAGTTCCAAAACTATGCAGTTCAACAGATATCTATGGCATATGTGTAATCACTATCTACTGGCCAGAGAAATGTAGGAATACGTCTATTCCCTACATGTAGTACAAGGAACACCGCTTGCACTTCACCTACATGTAGTACAAGGAACACCGCTTGAACACCGCTTACATGTAGTACAAGGAATACGTCTATTCTCTAAGCTAGCTATCCAATGCCACAAGCTCAAAGTCCAATCACAGCAGATCACAATCTGATATGGACCAAATATAAATCAATAAACATGTACCACATGCATACAAATTAAAGACAACGCTTTTTCATTACGTTTTATGTCTTAAAGCTTCTAACAAAGCCACAAGCCCTTAATCACATGATTATGGCTTAGTCCACTAATTACAGAAGTTTAACTTCATCAATCTAGGGTCCACAAACCCCCAATAGCCTACTGTACACACAGCACAGCTACTGGTCTACGAAATCCCAGAATATCCGGATATTCCTCGGGGCCATATCCGGATATGCACACTGTCCATATCCGGATATACAGATTCCAATATCCGGATATCCAATATCCAGATATCCCAAACCCCATATCCGGATATCACATATCCGGATATCCAATATCCGGATATTCCACGACAGAATGCAGCAACTGCATTTCGTGAAGATATCCTTCAAATCAATAGAATTTGATCAATCCTTTTTTCTGTCGTTAAGGTAGAGAACTGAACCAAGAATTCTCTTTCTTTATCATCAATCGAATCGCTGTTCGAGACCCAGGATTCT